CTACGATATTTCTTCAAAAGCAGATCGTGGAGACATTTTAATCGTCCACGATTAAAAATCGTCATATCGCACACCCCTACGCACGAGTTTGGGTTTGTTGCAAGATGTCATTCTAATTTATTTAAAGAAGTCTTATCCTCACCAAGGGAGAATTTATTTTATGAAAATTACAGAACTGTAGGCTATTGTCAAATCTTTTTACGTTTTAAAGTAACGTTTAGTAATTTAATATTTTAAAATTAGATTTTTATTCAGAAACTATTTTAATATGCTGATTTGGTGCTCAAAAAACATTTATCAATGCTGAAAACAGTCGGGCTACTTAATATTTTTGTGGAAAATCGTGATTACTTTCTTTTCAAAGAATTCTGAAAAAAATTTGAAGTAATAGAAGTGCATTTTTTTTTAAATAGAAATGTTTTGTTTCTGTATAAATGTCTAACATTTGCATTAAATTGATCAGTGACAATAATTTCTTCCTACTTTCTTACTACTACTGGAAAAAATGTGACACAATGTTTACTTATTTGAGATATACTTGAAGGTTATGCAATTGCTTTAACTTGTTAATACAACCTTGTGTGATTTATAGCAGAGGTTTGAGCACAGCATGAGCTGGCACATCTCTTATCTTTGGTTTTCTCTGCACCGCTCTCTCCGTCCCTCAACCCAAGGCCTGTGATCTCAGACTCATTCCCCAACAGTTGTGAAGGAGAGAGAAAGGCCTTGCAACTGACTCTGATACAGGTCAAGCTTTAAGTCTGTAGTTCAGATAGATCTTAAGGGACAAAAAGTAGAAATAAATGACCAATAAAATCAATTATTGTTGCATAATTTCTAGTATTACTCTATTTTTATTATGATATTAATTTCTCATAAGTCAGTTTGTTGCTTTAATCTTGGCCTAGTTCTGTGTGTTCTGACTTTCTGCAATGCATCCGCACACAGACCCTTTGGCCCATATCTAGCGCAGGTTTCTGACTGGATTTATCATGGAGGATGAAAACACAGCCTCAGTGTCCCAGCTGGATTTGTTACTCAAATCAGAGGGATCTGAGAAGGATCATTGCCTTGCTGTTGGCATATTAGCCATTCAAAAGCCCTGTAATCTGTTTCGCTGGCTGAGGAGCATTCAGATGATTTTGGCAGGGTTAGCATGTTCTCAGATGCTGCTTTTAGATGTTTTTGTTATCCCTAGCCCGTATTTGAAAGCCACAAATAGTTAGGTTAAGTTATATGTACACATTCACAATCATTAGACCTCTATTACACTAGTGTTTATATCACAACATGAGTCACGCTTTCCTGCAACTACTAAATTCCAGCAAATGCATTTCGTAGTACTGCTAAATCCCTAAAATTAATTCACAGATTCTCTCCTCTGCTCTTACAGTAAGGGATATGCTCAGTCATGCTACGTAAAACTGTCCGTACCTCCTCTATCACCTGTTTGGGCTGTTGTGTTCCCAGATAGAGTGCTCATTATCACTTTGTACACTACTCTCCTAGATTATGACAAGAGCAGACGAATGGCCTTTCAAACTTTCCCAGCTGCGTTGGGTCGAGGCAAAGAGGGTTCAGATGGAGGGAAGGAGGGCTCATGGAAGGGAGTAAATGGAGAGCGAGAGACCGAGCTCTGTACCCAGTGACCTCTCGTCTAGATAACAAGCAGCAGTATTTCACAAAACAGTGGGCAACATGAAACTGTCATTTCTGAGAAGTCTTCCTTTTTCCACTACTCGGCTCGTACATGCACTGGGCAGCTGATGTGTGTGTGTGTTTGTATATGCGGCAGGGGAACTGAGCAGGGTGTATGTGTGACACAGCAGAGGCTTCACACTCGCTCGCCTCCAGTGTTAAAGAGAAACTGAATGTCTTACCGGACAGTTCCAGTTCTGCCTAGTTTAAACGTGTGACCTCTAAATGGTAGATGTTTTCGTCTTGTGAGAGAAGATTGTGAGTAGTGTAAACTTCAAAACCAAAGAGTATTGAAAACTTTTTTTCCCTCTGCCATTTCTTTTCTCTCTGTCACTTCCTGTCTCACTGTCACTTGCACTCATTTCTTCCCCATCTGTTCTGGTAGTAGCAATTACAGGAGTGGCTTGCAAATGCGGTTCTATGATTTGCATGAGACGAGTTCCTGGTAAAAGTAGAGCAGGAGGAAGTAGAGCCGTCATAGGAACGCCATTTCACACAGCTGCATCCCTGTTCGAAAAGCTTCTCATAGAGCTTTTTATTGGCGTCGTTTACACTTGGCATTTGCATGCATTTTGGGAGATTACCAATAAACCATTGTGTGGGAAACACTGTAATATAATTTGACTGCTATCAAGCTATAGTTTAACCAATCAATCTTCACCATCAAACTTAGTACCACAGCTGTGCCCTCACCAATGCAACTAGTGAAAAGGGACCCTCTCTCAAACATTGTCAACATAAAGTAACATTTAAAAAATTCAGATTATAACCAAAATAAGCAGCGGTATTCAGTATATGACGGTATATATTGTTACCATGGTAGTAAATGTCAACCGTAGCAGATTTCCGTGGAAAAACCAAGACATGTAAATAAGTGGGCGTGGTTAACTCCCATGCAGCATGCGTAAGACTGTGGAATTTCGTTTTCTAAAGGGTTGTTGTTAATGTGATATTTTCAGGGGGAAAGGCGCAGCCGTCAACTAGAGCAGTGCAGCACCCGTACACTACATTTTATGGCGCTTTTCCACTAAACAGTACCAGCTCGACTCGGCTCACCTTTGTTTGTTTTTCCACTGTGTCAAAGTTGTACCTGTTCCTGCTTTCGGGTACTTTTTTTGTACCACCTCCGGTGAGGCAAGCTAAGGCGATACTAAAATGTCACGTGAAAACAATGCCGACTGCTGATTGGTCGCAGAGAATCGTCACCGGCATTCACTGCGTCATCATTGCACGTGCCAGATGGAGTATCCAGAATTACCCCGCCATTTTTAAATAGTTTGGTCAGAGATAGTTGCTAAACTTAGTACTATTATTATGGCAACTCGGAAGAATACGCCGTGGTCAAACGAGGAGGTGCAGACTTTCCTTTGTTTGGTTGCCGAAGAGAGGATCCTGCGAGAGCTTGATAGGGCAACGAGGAACGAAAGGTGTCGCTATGACAACCGGGTACTATTTGTGGCGGTACTGTCTGCAATGGAAAACGAAGTGAAAAGCGAGGCGTCGAGTCAAGCCAAGTCGAGTCAAGCTGGTACTGGTAATTGAAAAGTGCCATTAGAGGAGTGCACGTTTGCAATGGGAAAAACATGAAGCTTACTTGACAACATATATTAATATCGTAACGAATAGAAATAACCATAAATAATGTATAGTTTTCTGCATCTTTCGATCTCTTATGTATAGTTACTTTTTAAACACAAAAAATGAGAGGGAGCCTTGAGAGGGAGTGGTGAATGTCAGTGTTCACCCGGCTATGGTCAGAGGTGTGTATAATTTAAACTTCTTGGTCAACTCTAACAGTAGCTGCTGTTTGGTTTTCATGCTGCTGCTCTTCTTCTAGTCTCTTCTAAACTTGATGAACTTGACGGAACTGAACTTCTCTTGATCAAAGCTTCAGGTGACAGTAGCACTGCTCTGGTTATGAGCAGCCCCTTATTTATTTTTCGGTTACGCACTGACACAGTGGCCTGTTAGTTTCTTTGAAATGGCCACATTTTAGGACCCCTCTAAGGATTTAAAAAAAAAAATATATATATTAATTTACTTATCATTTTTAAGACATTAAGTCTTTTTGGGCTCGCTATCTTCTAACATTACACTCTGAATACACCGTATTTGGCTGCTTAATGAGATTAGTTTGACTCCACTGCCTTTATCAGTCCTGGGGGAAACACTCGTTTTACTCAGATTTTGGGGGTTTTATTAACATACAGTTTAGTCCCCGGATATAAGACGACCCCATTTTTTCAGAAAAACATTCTTATATTCAGAACGATATGCTAATATCAGGTGTAAACGGTCATTGTTTTGTTTGCAATGTCACAATAGCCATCTCTTTCCACCTGTCCTATGTCTTTGTATGGTTGTTTCCTTGTGCAGCTCAATTATTCTGTCTGAACCATTGGTTTACCATCTGGCCCCTGGAGAAGAAAAAAAAGCACTTGTGGTTTTCTAGTCTTGAGCAAGCTTTTAGCTCTGCCCTTCTTTTGATAAGATAATCACTTTCCTAGTCTTGCTGCTTTTTCTCTCTTGAAGAGGCCTCTTTATCTTTTGTGCCATCTATTTAGCCTCATCTGTTGGATATAGCATTTGAGACTGCCTGTTTCCTTCTGAGAATTGCGACTTGTTGACAATCCAAGTCTTCTGATGTTCCTTTTTTTGAAATCATGTCTGTCTCAACTTGTCGAAGTCTCGCATCATGAAGACTCTCATTGTGTGTGCTGTTTTTTTTTCTTAATGTGGTTATTCAATCTGTTGCAGATCAGGGAGCCAAGATGACTTGGTTACTTTGATGAGTGTCCTTTTATTGTGGATGGGGGTGGCGAGTCGAGAAGAGAAGCGTGGGACTGTGAAACAGTTGAGGCTGTTTGAAGCTTTGCCTGACTTTAATCCTTGCGACTGCCTTTGAGTTTTCAGAAACTCAGGAACAAGTTCTCTCTGTATTGACCTTTTTTGTGCCCTTTTTTTTAATCTCAGCCTTCCTCTCTACCCCCATACCATGTATACACTACTTTTGATTTGAGAGTGACTGCATTTAGAGGCAAACCTGCTATTTGCATGAAACAGGACATTGTGCTCCATGCCAAAAAATCAGGAAGTTGGTGTCTTGATGTCCTAAACTTGCTGTTATAACCTGTCTGCTTCAAATTGCCTTTCTCAATGAGACAAGTCACTGGCTTATGCAGCTGCAAGGGTGAATCCTCTGAGCAGTACTACTCTTAAGATGTTCATAAGGATGTTTAAATGATTGTTCAACTGAATATATCTCATTCTGCACTCACTGTCTTCTTTCTCCCTTTCTCCAGTGTTTCTGTGTTGATTCGGATCACACATATATGGCGTTTGTGACCGTCTGCGGAGAGTTCTGCCAGGCTCAGCACCTCACCTTTGTGGACAAGTGAATTTTTAGGCGCCCGAGGGACTACGCTACCCAAAAGCCTCCCTGACAGCCAGCACACTGGGTCCAGTCTGTCTCTTCTATACCCTTTTGGGATCCTGTGTAGTCCTCGAGCACGCCAGCCTCACTTCCTTCCTACAGCTTTTTCTCCCTGTAGCCAATCATAAACTCTTCTCCTGAATGGGGTAATCTCAATTGTCTAAATTGGATGACTGAAGGATAGTCTCCCTTTTTCTTTAATTTCCTTTCAAGTTTCTCATCCTTTTTTTTTTATACATCCTTTGAGCATCGTGGACTAGATCACCTCCCTTCTGGCTTTTGTTTGTACTTCTAGTAGTCTAGGGTCCACTCACCATTGCACCCAATATTATTTTTTTTGTCTTATTTATTTTTTCATACTGCTGAGATCTGAGCCAAAGATTTTTTTAAAGAAACAAAGGAACAGGAGTTATAAGTACTTCATTGTAATTGTTTTAAAGACGTCTTGCCAACATGAACCGCCCTGCCGCTGTTGAGATTTCCTATGACTGCATGAGATTCCTCATCACACACAACCCCACCAACTCCACTCTCAACAAGTTCACTGAGGTAAGGGAGCTGTCTGGGTCCTCCTTTTGTGAATGAGCTTGTCACGAACGGGGAATCCCAAATATCTTCTCTTACACGTTTCACTCTGCCTCCCTCTTTAGGAGCTGAAGAAGTTTGAGGTGAACACACTGGTGAGAGTATGTGAAGCCACCTATGACAAGGCACCAGTGGAGAAGGAGGGCATTCAGGTCCTGGTGAGTAAATCTAATTGAAGATTTGAAGAACAGTGTTTAAAGGGAAGAAGTAAAGAAGAGGTGCTCATTTTGTCACTAGGGGTGGGGATCTCTAGGTACCTCATGATTTAGAGGGCTGCGATTCGATGCTAAAGCGATTATCGACTATCAGAATCTTTTTTGTGTGTGTGACTAGAAATACTTTGCTTTAAAAGTACAAAGTAATGACCCATAAATAATTAACGTACAATGTATTTTATTAACATTGCGGAGAACCAAAGGAACTTAATTTTTTTTACAAAAATTAACTAGCACAACTATTCAACACTGATAATAGCAATCACTTAATTCTAACCAAATTCATCATGAAGTTTAACCTACTTACAAAATTTCCCCATGAAATTAGAGACCGTTTTTTCCTGTAACATCCTGATTTTTTTTAATGTGCATAGTGAATGCAGTAATTGTCTTTAACCAATATCCAAGACACTCACGTTCACGGATCACCATTGAATATAGTTAGCAGTTAGGGTTAATTGAGGTCTCCTGTGTAATGATGAATTAAGTACTATTTATTATTTGTTTTATAATTGTTGTTTACTAGATTCATGTAATTACACTGGCAAAGATAAATGTAAATTAACTATAACCAGAGGAATTTCACTGCGCTTTAACGCAAACAGTGTGCCTGCAGAGGATTGCGGTAACTCTGGAATGATTTGTCCTGTTTGCAATGGTCTTTTCTGTGATATTTTCTTAAAAGGGCGAGTGATCAAGCAAAATCTCCCGTGCTCTTTTTCCCTCTTTGGATTATGTAGGTTGTTTCAACCAGAGCCCTACTGATGTCACTTACAAGTGTTGGATGTGGGTGTTTGTAATAAAAACACCACCTTGGTGGCTTTTGAAAAAAAAAGTATTTATACTTGACGTTATCTCGTTCTGACCCTGCTGGAAAAGCCTAGATAGCCCTTCTAGTTTATTTGCTATATCTGGGGCTGGTTGCACCAGCTGGATGCTAAAAAAAAAAGTTGGGTGCAATTTCTAACCTGGGCTTAGATACGCCCAGCCTTCAGATAAATATTTACCTGTTGCACCAAATAAAACTACAACCAGGCTCAATCTGATTTCATTTTTTTTCAATGTGGCCTTAAGTATGAACTCCCTGTACAATGCAAATGTCCAAAGCATTTAAATCTTTATGTAAAGTTGGGAATTTTCTCTGCTCATCAACATTGTGAAAGAGATGCTTATAAGCCTTCTGCAAAAGTGGAAGCACTCAATCAGTAATTTGAATACAGACTTGTCTGTATTTAAGGTAAGTCCATACAACTTAATTTACATTTGTAGCTTACAGTAACTCTTATTTGTCATGTAATTATTATGTTAGATAATATTATGTTGGTTTTTTTTAATACAGTAAATTTAAATGAAGGGCTGACTATATCACTTGCTGTAAATGGTCTTAAAGAGGTGAAATATTATTTCCAAGTCCCTTTCAGAAAAATGATGCATGGTATGATACAATTTCTGCCATTAACCCCAGATATATGTTCATTTGTAATATTTCCAACATAATTACATGCAGAAATGTTGTCAGGTCAGTTACCTGTGTCGGCAGTGCGCAGTAGACACGCTCATCTTAACGATTGCTATATATCTCTTATCCTGTGTGAATTAACCATAAACATTAGTTCATGTCCACAGTAACAATGAATTCACATACAGTACATGAAATTAATCTTTTCCGTGTTCAACACTTATCAAAATAGTTTAAGCATGTGTATGTTAATTTATTAAGCAGGAAAGAGGAAATTTCCACCCCTGCCTTTGTTCCATTTTATGTATTTGATAATTTTTCTCCTACACAATAATATTTGAAAATAATAAGGAAGGAAAGGTGTTAGAAGGGGAACAATATCCTTACTTCCTTAACGAGAAGGTACAGAGCAGTTTAAACTCTACACACGCACTGTGTGTGTGTGTGAGTGATATATGGCCCATGGCATCTGTTTAACTAACTGCAGCTGTAACCCAATACCTGAGAAAAGATTTACATCCCTGCTATTCAACACTGCACCTCGAACATTTTTCTTTGGAAGTGGCTCACTCACAATTGACATGGAATGGCTGAATAAAGAAAGGAAGAAGGTTTGATTGGGAGCAAGGGATTGCATGTATAAGCGACATAGTAAAGAGAGAAGCTGAAGCTCTCTGTGGGTCAGCACAAGCACAGCGGCCCAGACAGCTGCACAGACACAGAACTGCCAGCCAGTCTGTTTCCATTATCTGTCATTTTCGCCCACACACCCTTTCTCTTTAACGTTCCCAAGCACCAAATCTTCTCACACGCTCAGATCTTCGGATTTTCAAAGAGGAAATGGAAAGCAGACCTAGATAACTAACTACTTAAAACTGCTGATAATTAATGCAGGCCTAAGCTGTTTTTAGTGATGCAAATGGATTTACCAGTAAACCACCGTACTCCCTTAGGATGACATTAGACTTGTGCGTCATTTGGGTGAACCTGATACGTCTTGCCCCGAACTCCCCTCTCTCCTGATGGCTCTCCTTATTGATCTCATTTTGCCAGCTTCACATTATATCTTAATTTCCCTGGTCTGTCCGTCCTCTCCTCCTTTGTCTCCGCATAGCTCTCTCTCCTCTCAGGCCTCTCTCGCTAGTTGTGTGGTTTGACTGGGAGGAGTCCAGATCTCTGTGGCCTTCTGTCTAAAACAATTCATGAGAGCGTTCTGCTCTTCCACAGTTGTGCAAGGCCACATGTAAAACTTCTCAAGTTAATCAGCTGTTTTACCTTGTATGCTCTCTGAAATGTAGACAAGATATTAAAGCATTTAGTCAAAATCTAAACTGCTGTTTGTTTATTCCTGTTTTTGGTTTTTTTTCATGGCTGCAGGACTGGCCTTTTGATGATGGAGCTCCGCCCCCCACCCAGATCGTAGATGATTGGTTAAACCTGCTGAAGACTAAGTTCCGAGAGGAGCCAGGATGCTGCGTCGCCGTTCACTGTGTTGCAGGGTTGGGCCGGTCAGTCTTTTAGTTGTAAATGTATTTCTTGAAATGTTTGTAACTCAGAGAGAAGCTCTTTCATTCGGTCTAGTGATAGGACCAGTGTTGGGGGTAACGAGTTACAAAGTAACGAATTACAGTAACAATATTACTTTTTTGGGTTACGAAGTAAAGTAACGCATTACACTAAAAATATTGGTAACTACACTACTTTACTATACTATAGGAACGCGCTTTCCTGCGTTACCCAAGCCGTGTTTGCCTGTGTGGAAAGTTCCGTCTAGTGGTGCGTGCGCACCGTTGCCATAGAGACCGATTTGAGTGACATAGCTGCCAGTGCTAAGGAGAGAGGGAAGTGGAGACGGGGTTTCGGCAAGTGGCAATATTCACATTACTTTCAGTTTATTGCTTGAAAGGACAAAAATATTTGTGTGAAATGTAGGCTACTCTAGTAAACCCTAAGATTATTACTTGTGACATGAGTGATATGACGTATATCCACAATAAAATATGTGGATATAAAAACTAGGGCTGTGCAAAAATTAATTGCGATCACATCCAAAATAAAAGTCTGTGTTTACATAATATATTTGTGTGTGCTGTGTATATAATTATTTTGTATATATAAATACACACATGCATGTATATATTTAAGAAAATGTGTTATTTATATATACAATATTTATATAATATAGATTATGTATTTATATATATATATATATATATATATATATATATATATATATATATATATATACAGAATTTAAGCGCAAATAATTCTTAAATATATACATGCATGCATAGGTATTTATATATACAAAATAATTATATACAGCACACACAAATATATTATGTAAACACAGACTTTTATTTTGGATGTGATTAATCGCAATTAATTTTTGCACAGCCCTAATAAAAACATGTAGGCTACAGAACTAAATGAACGATCTCAAATTTCTAATTTCACTAAATATTTCATTAAATTTCATTAAGTTTCATTTCAAGTTTCTCATTTTGTAAACATAAATAACTGATTTAGATGTGCAAACTGGGTGCCCTTGCGGAGATGTAGGCTAACTTGCATGTTAGGTGCAGATTCGGCTTCTTGAAGTCGTTCATCCTCGGATGCGGCACCGCAAAAAAGCTGTGCACTTCAAGTGAAATGGGGTCTTGCGCACCTTTGCACTCGTGCAGACGCGTCGAGTATAAACAAGGCTCGGAACTCTTGGATAACACAAAACGAAATGAACAGGATTGTTGCAGGGTTCATTGTAGAAGAGATGCTTCCCGTGTCGACCATTAATACCATTAAGTTTAGTTTAAAAAAAATGCTTTTTAAATTAAGATTACAAATTTTATGGGATAAATTGACCTTTATTTTATTATTTTTCATTGACCTCTTCATTTTTTGTTTTTTATTGCCATGAGTCGAATAAAAAGCTGGTTTTGTTCTCAGGAGAAGAGTTTTATTCTCCCAAAGCCTGTGTTTTGACACTTGTGTGTTGAACCAAAATGACCCCACCATAGCCTCCTTTATCCTGTTGTTTGTGAATTTTACAGTGCAGCATATTTATTTGTGCAGACAGGGATATTGTTCTTTCATACCATTTTGTATTAATTTGTACAATAAAGTGATGATAGGGCAAAAAGTGATGATGGGCTATGATGTTTGTCCATGTATCTACACGTAAATTAAGAAACGGGAAAGTAAAGTAATAAGTAGTGAAGTTACTTTTCCAACGCAGTAACTAGTAAAGTAATCTCATTACAATTTACAGAAGTAACTAGTAACTAATTACTTTTTTTGAGTAACTACCCCAACACTGGATGGGACATATGTCTAATCTCAAAAGAGACAAAAAACTGTGTAATTGATAAGAAAACAAAAAACAAAAACGGGAATATTAAATATGCTAGAATAAATAAAAGCATTTATTTGGTATTTTTTTTCTTTATTGTTACTTCTGACCAATTTAATGCATCCTTTCTGATTAAAAGTATTGATTTCTTTAAAAAAAAATGTATAACTGATCACAAACTTTTGAACTGTAGTGTAAATAATGTGTGGCACATTTTGTTTCTAAAGATTAGCTATTGAGTTTCTTTAAATTAGAAAAGAAAAGTGCAAATTTCCGGGAGACGGCAAAACACCCCTAAACGATAATACAGTCAGGTCCATAAATATTGATTAGACGCAATTCTAATCTTTTTGGCCCTATACACCACCACAATGAATTTGAAATGAAACAAATAAGTTGTGCTTTAACTGCTGACTTTTGGACCCTCAACTTTAATTTGAGGGTATTTACATCCAAATTAGGTGAACGGTGTAGGAATTACAACTGTTTGTATATGTGCCTCCCACTTTTTAAGGGACCAAAAGTAATGGGATCAATCAACAATCATAAATCAAACTTTCACTTTTTAACACTTGGTTGCAAATCCTTTGCAGTCAATTACAGCCTGAAGTCTGGAACACATAGACATCACCAGACACTGGGTTTCATTGTCCATCTGCACTGTGAAGCGTCGTCCAATGAGTTCTGAAGCATTTGGCTGAATATGAGCAGATAATATTGCACAAAACACTCCAGAATTCATCCTGCTGCTTTTGCCAGAAGTCACATCATCAATAAATACAAGAGAACCATTTCTATTGGCATGCCCATGCCATAACACTACCACCACCATGCTTCACAAGTCGATCTTGTCCATAGGATGTTGTTCCAGAACTGTGAAGGCTTTTTTAGATGTTGTTTGGCAAACTCTAATCTGGCCTTCCTCTTTTTGAGGCTCACCAATGGTTTACATCTTGTGGTGAACCCTCTGTATTCATTCTGGTGAAGTCTTCTCTTGATTGTTGACTTTGACACACAAACACCTACCTCCTGGAGAGTGTTCTTGATGTGGCCAACTTTTGTGAAGGGCGTTTTCTTCACCTAGAAAAGAATTCGTCGGTCATCCACCACAGTTTTTTTCCTGTGTTCTTCTAGGTCTTTTGGTGTTGCTGGGTTCAGCGGTGGGTTCTTTCTTTTTAAGAATGTTCCAAACAGTTGATTTGGTCTTTGATTTGGTTGATTGGGTTTTTTTTTTCAACCTAATGATGGCTTGCTTCACTGATAGTGATGGCTCTTTGGATGTCATATTGAATATTTACAGCAACCGATTCCAAATGCAGATAGCACACTTGAAATGAACTCTGGACCTTTTATATGCTCCTTGTAAATGGGATAATGAGGGAATAACACATTACTTGTCCCATTACTTTGGTCCCATATACAAACTGTTGTAATTCCTACACCGTTCACCTGATTTGGATGTAAATACCCTCAAATTAAAGTTGAAAGTCTGCAGTTAAAGCACATCTCGTTCGTTTCGTTTTAAATCCATTGTGGTGGTGTGTAGAGCCAAAAAGATTAGAATTGTGTCTGTCCCAATATTTTTAGACCTGACTGTGTGTATAAATAAAAAGTATTATATTATTTTGTGTAAGTCCCATTAAAGTGGTTTATTCTTTCAATAGTATTTGTGTGCTGAGAGTGATATAGTTCAGTGTAACGGCAATAGATTTCACAAAATCTGAACGCAAGTGGTCACCGAGGACTCATTTGAAATGCGTGACCACTGATCTGTTCACCAAAAATGTGTCTTGATACCTTGTGGAAACAGGCTTTCTCTCTTTCTCGCTCTATTTCCGGGATATTAAATATAATTTGCGGGCGTCAAAGAGCCGCTATCATTATGCAGGAGGCTCCCGGACATTCTGGGAGAGGTGGTATGTCTGTTAATGGCACTTCACCATTTGGATTGTTACAAGCAGTGAGAAATACAAACGGTTAAGAATCTTAAGCCCATTCACACATGGGTGAACTTGAAACCTGCCTAATTTTACTGGACATCTAGTTATGACAGAGTTGATTATGACATGTCTAGTCAAAAACACATATTTGTGTAGTAAGTACATGTGAGATTCAGTTGTGTTTTCTTCAAACACTTACTAACGTTTGCATATTTTGCACTTAGTCTTTCTCACCTTTTGTATAAACCCGGTCACACACACACACACACACACACACACAACCAGTGTCTCAACAGAGAAGTTAAGCGTCTATGAACTGCTGGTGTTAGTATGGTGTAACCTACATCGTGCACATTAGTGTGAACTCTGTTCCCTCGCATTCATTTTCCTGAGCTCAGTTTACACCAGTTCTTTTAGGGGTAAACAGCAGCACTGTTTAAAACGAGCCTGTGGTCGTGCTGCTCTCCAAGTCTTGTTTTGTTGTTGTTTTGTGAGAACTCAACTACAGACTGCCTTCTCAGCTCTTTACCTCTTTTTGCACACAAGCAGCTCAAAATACAGTTTTCTCTGTGAACAAGCACTCTTTTTGTATTTGAGCTCCCAAAGGTGGTACACTCTGATTTGGTAGTTGTTGATGCAGTTGCAAAAATCATGACCAGAAAATGGATATTTAGGGCCCGGGCACCGATGGTTTGAGGACACTTTTGGTATTGCTCCATTTATTTTGAGTAGGGTTTTTTTTTTTGTCATTTAAGCTACAGGTTTTCAAGTTGAATGAAACCTTGCATTGTATTGAAATCTGTTTTGTCTTGTTTTCATAGAGCACCTGTGCTGGTGGCTTTAGCCCTAATTGAGAGTGGAATGAAGTATGAAGATGCAGTGCAGTTTATAAGACAGTAAGTAGCTTGGATCATTTGTCCTTGATCATTAATTCTGACAACTAACTTCTACTTTAAAGGGATACTCCACTCTTTTTTGGAAATAGGCTCATTTAACAACTCGCTCAGTTGAGTTTTACGGTTTTCAAATCCATTCAGCCGATTTTCTGATATTTAGAAAAATGTCAGTAACCAGACAGTTTCTGGTCCCATTGACTTCCATAGTATATTTTTTTTCCTACTATGGAAGTCAATGAGACCAGAAACTGTCTGATTACTGACACTTTTCTAAATATCAGAAAATCGTCTGAATGGATTCGAAAATGGTAAAACTTGACTGTTTAACTCTGGAGGAGTTTTAAAATGAGCCTATTTCCAAAAAAAGTGAAGTATCCCTTTAAGGTTGAATACACCTACACAACTACCTGAACCCATTTTTAAACACTAGGCATCATACATTTGACAACTTTGTAAATGGTTACAGAAAAAAAACTGAGCATCATACACTGAACAACGGAGGATCAGACACTACCAGACTTTCCAAAGTCATTCCGAACACAAACTTGCACAGAAACATGCCTATAATTGCTAGGAAACGCTTGACAGATGGAAATAATATATTCTTAAAACTGGCCAAACAAGTTTGATATCCTTTGACTGGATGGAGTCAAATACCCATTTCACACATTCAGTCTTTATTGTTAAGTGACTGGAAAATTAACGTTTAGAGATCGTGTGTGAAAAAATTACAGTAAATCAATTCTGCCAAATTTCCAGAATGAGAGTTCGAAAATTACCAGGAAGTTACCGGGATGATACTATGTGAGAACAATATGATTACCGGCATGATGCGCACGAGGGCAGGACATGCTTACCTAAGAAGTTTGCTTTGGGCCAATCGCAAAACCCTGTCGGATCTGTTTACAGAAAGCTCTGCTGCTTTGAATTGTTTTTTTTTCTGTAAACATGCTCTCTAGACTGACATCTGACCATTGCGCCGAGTCTTATTCTCAAAGCTATTCCTATTTTTCCAATCATCAGTCTTGTCGTCTGAAGCTTAAAAATCTGAGCCTATGCCCATCATGCACTACACAATCTGTCAACTCAGCAGACTTGCTCTGACTTTTGGCATCTAGCAAAACTAGGAAGAAATTTGGGTATTTTTTATTATATTTATATATATATATATATATATATATATAAATATTTGGGTAAAAGTTGTGTATTCCAGCCTTTAGTTGATTTTAAACTGCACTCTCATGTTAATTTTTTGTATTTTGTATTTTTTTATTTTTTTTTAGGAAGAGACGTGGAGCCTTCAACTCCAAACAGCTTCTTTACCTTGAAAAATACAGACCCAAGATGCGTCTGCGGTTCAAGGATGCCAACGGTCACAACTGCTGTATCCAGTAGTGTGTCATTCTGTCAGTCATGCAAAACAACAGTGGGAATTTCAACCAGGGTAGAGGGGAGCAAAAGCTGTGGGTTATAATTGTGGTGATTGTGTTTTTTTTTTTTTCTTGTTTTTTTTTTATCAAATGAATCATGGCTAATCTATCACAGAGATGTAATGAATGAACGCTGATCTATGGATTCACCAGCAGTATCAATGCGAAGGGTCAAAGCACACAGATCAGCCCGTAAACCTGGTTGGTTAACCAGCGTTAACAGAAACGGGCAAGAATACACACAAGTTCCCCTGATTTCCCAAATTTACAATCATGGGATGACTTTTTATTTTTTGTTATTTCAGAACGAGTACTTTGAACCATGATGGGAAGATTTACAATTGTAAAATGCTGTCATTGTTGATTTTTATTAAGACTTATTTTGTTGGGCATGTTTTTTTTGTTTTTTTTAGCATTTCCACAGACAATAGCCAATTTTGTTACAGAAACAACCTAAGTAGGCATATGATATTTTTTCACAAAACAAAATTAAGAAGTTTCTTTCCAATGCAGCAATTGCCCCCTTGAAATCACTTTTAATTTAGGGTTAGCCTTGGTTTTAAATATGTCAGCTGTATTTATTCACAATAATTAGTGTCTTGTCAGGAGTGTGGGTGGGTTTAGGACACTTCTTTCTTTCATGGAGCCATGTTATTTTCTCTTGTTTTTGTAATCTGTGGGGAGTGCAATATTCTGTCCAGCTTAGAAAAGCCCTCACCCTTAGGACCGTCCTACATCCAAATTCAAATACAGGAGGACACTTGGCTTGTCTTAGGTACTCACTTTCTATAGCTGCTCTTCGCTGGCTGGTCAGTAAAAAGCTTTACCGTTGACCTTGTTGTGACGCACACATAATGTGTACTGTTCAGCCCTCAGACACTGAAGGAAGTGAGAGGCGGGAGACAGGTCAGCTCTTAGTTTTTTTTATTTTTAATCATTGTGCCCATTTTGGAAACAGCCCCTCTTCATCTTGGTTTTAAGACAAATAAATGAATTGAAATTGATTCTGGCCTATATTCATTGTGTGTTCCTTCCTGTATTATGTTAGCTATTTACTCTTCTTGGTGGATGAGTCACTACATGATGACTGATTTTTACAGCCACAACCAAGATAACGTCTGAATTATGGTGGAAGATAATGTGAAAAGTAATTGGTTGAAAATGGCGTCCTGTCACCTGCAATTGAAAGAAATAACAATCTTGTGATTTCTATTCTATATTCAAACAGCAAATGACCCAGAATGTTGGACTTTGAATAGTCAAACCAAATGTGACTCATTTGACTCCATGAGGCTTTTCCACACATTTCTGTCCTGAAAGTTCCTGGCTGATCAGTGACTCGTGTACTGAAAGGAAACGGCTCCCCTATGTGACATTTCTTATATGATGAGTGATAGTGCAGATGGAAGATGACTAAACTCTTGAAATATTTAAGTCAGTCACATGGTAGAAATCCACAGGAAGTTGGGAAATGACCTGACCTATTTACTTCCATCTCTACACCTGCTGACATAATCCACTGGAGTCAGAGATGTGTGACTAATTGTTTATCATTTTTAAGTCCATTTCTAATGCATATGCTTCTTAAAGGGATTGTTCACCAGAAAATTAAATTAAAATTGTCATAATTTACTTGCCTTGACCTCCATAATATGGAGGTGGGAAATGCTATGGAGGTCCATGGGACCAGAAGCTGTTAGATTATTTAGTGTTTAGCAAATCATATTTTGTGTTTAGCAGAAGAAAGACATAACGTTACAGGTTTGGAACAACTTGAGGGTGAGTAAATGATGACGGAATTTTCACCTTGGTTGAACTATCGATTTTAATGATTGTAGTACAAAGATGGAAGTCAGATTTTCCCTTAGGATTTTCCAGATTGAACAAGTCTGGGCTGGTTTGTCTTTATCTGCAGTGCCATCTGCTGGATCGGCTCGTGTGATGGGATCATGGTTGGGGATTAGACCAGTTCGTTGTGTCGTCTGCCAACTTTTTTTTTTTTTTTTACTATTGTTAATTTTTAATAATACTATTCAGAGAATAACATCAAATGGACCACATAATTTAACTCTATGATCTTAAGATATAAAATCTACTACCTTACATATTAAGTCATGTATGCAAGACTGAGCTGAAAGCACTGAGCTCTGCGAATTTACGTAATTTAAGTAATTTTATAACATAAGATGAAATGGGTTCGCAAATTCGATAATTCTTTCTTGCGTTAATAAATTTGGATAGGGTATTAAAAGTTTTTTTTTTAATGCCACAACATATTGTATGAATGTTTTTTTTGTTTGTTTTTTTTAAAGAGCAACTGTTTTCCTTTGTTGTTATGACAATGATGTAACTTTATGACAATGATGTAACAATGATGCACGTAAGTGCACATTACTCCAACATAAAGGTAACAATTTATGTTAAATTAAAATAGCCCTACATGCCACTAAACAGCGCTATTACAATTAGTCAACCAGCTAAATAAAATCATAATTTGTATTAAATTACTCCAACTGTAGTGTAGCTTCGTTGATTTTAAATGGGAGCTTGCAGTTTTGTCGAGTCAGAGCCCGCCGCCTGGTCGAGTCTAGGCTGGTGTCGCTAGGCGTTATTTTTTAGGTGGGCGTGGCTGCATTAACTGACTGGACTCTCATTGGTTCAGCTCGCGTTCAGTGACGTATCGCGACCGTTGAGATGGTTCTGGCAACACCGAAGTGAGCAAGCGCTAAATTCAAAATTTTCAAGCAGCTGAGGAGCGCGTGGCGTGTAGAGAAAGCGGAGAGACTTTTACTCCCTCATCAGACAAATAGATAAGAAAAACATAAAGGATTGTGCTTTAATTTAAACTTGTTGTAGCGTATATTAGGATGGACCCATTCACTGAGGTGAGTGTCTTTTGTGACAGCTATTATTTGATCGTTAGATGATTAGGGAGGATGTTGACAAATAGCTCGCCTCTATTAACTCAACGTTACCTGCATCAACTGCATTTACCTTTATTTAGCAATAAAGTTCTCTCTTTTGTCGTTACTTATTATTTGATTAACCAGGTAAATTACGTATTCGCTTATAATTTATTGTTTGGCTGTTTTGTTTACGTTTTGTGTAAAGCTAAGTTAATCATGCTTGTCTACTTGCTTGGTCATAATCTAGCATATAATAAACATTACCTTTACGTTACTTGCTTGTAAGCTTGCAATACAATATATATATATATTAAAAAAACTGTTGGTAAAAATGTTCTTGACTTTTGTCAGACTTGCCTCTGCATTTTAACTTACATCTTTAATGTCTGACTCTAAATCACTTAACTTCCTAATGTTATACGTCTTGGTTTGCCTAATTTTGTTTTGTGTATATTTCTTCTAAACTGATGTGAACTGACTGTAAATGTGATGCCTATTGTTTATTTTAAAACTTTTTCGTAAAATATACATAGCGGACTGTATGACATTTGCATTTAATATCTGTCTGCACTTAAATATCATGAATTCGAATATACAATGTTTTTGAATAAGGAACAAACAGATTAGCTGTCAGGGCTGTGGCCATAACTTGCGGTTGGTTGAATACAGGAAGCCTGGTTTGACCAATAGGATTCATCTGCTGGTCACATGACAAAATTCCATGGACATGAAATCCTCACTAACTGAAATTTCCACTCATTCCCTGGGAGACGGCCAACAAACAGCCACACTCCAGGAATGTGTTTGGTCTTGCTCAGTAACTCGGCTGTTAATCATGTGTGTTTGAGATGTTCTGCTAGAATGAGCTGCTAGCTTGTTCACACGTAGAAGATGAGCAGCGCAGATAAATGGGGCTGTGCATGAAAAAGGGATTTGAAACTTTAGACATTTTGTCTAAAGTTATTTTTAGTAAGTTTTAACCTTTAACTCTTGAGCTGTTCTTAGCATGCACACTTTCATTTTGTGTGTTAAGAGCTCTATAGGCAGCTGTCATATTGGTTATTGTAATATTGTGAATGCATGTCATTTTGCTCCCTCAGAAACTGTTAGAGCGCACACGTGCTCGTAGAGAGAATTTGCAGAGGAAGATGGCTGACAGACCAACGGCGGCCAACCGTCCAATGGCAAAAAGGACAAGGGATCCTCTTGCAGATACTAACGGTGTCATAAGTGAGCCGGCCATTGAAAAAGGTTCAGTTTTGTTGAACTTTTTTTGTTGCATGCTGTAGATGCGCATCAGGTGTTAGAGATGCACAGATGCCTGTAGATGTACATCAGATGTTTCATTTCTTGCGTTCAATATTCTTAAAATATGTTTTTCTTCGTTTTCTGGACAGCACTTCCCTCCTCCAAGCCGTCGCCCTCAAAGCGTCGTTGTTCGGATGAAAATAAACTCCTTACTGGAGAAGAAAACAAGCATCCGATGGCCCTAAAATCGACAGCCTCTGAGCCCATGACAGACAAGAAGCCACCCCTGGCACCAAGCACTGTTCGTTCTGTGCCCTTGGAGCATAGGTCTGCTCGTTGTACACCAGAACCAGAGGTGCTGCCCACTCAACCTCCTCCAGACACTGAAAAGATGGTGGTGTGCCCTCCACAGTCTCCAGCAAAAAGCTCAAATACTGCAATGAAGGACACTGCTTTAGATGGAGCCAGAGAGACTCAGAAAGATGTACCAATCAACATGAGATCTCGTCTACAGAGACTGGCTGAACAGAGGCACTACTGGGACTCGGAGGGTAGGCAATTCTCTCTGACTACCTGAATTTGCTATATTGAAGTAAAAGTGATAGCCCAGTATATTGGTACAGGGGGATTGTTTTGTATTTGGCCTTAGGGATCACATCAGCCAATTGTTGGCTGATTTATCGCCAAGCCCGTTATTTGCAATTTTTAGTTCTCAGCGTTGGTTGGTGGTCAAAAGTTTTGTCTAATAATATTATTTTCATTTACTGTCGTCTGTCAGAAAATACACATTTATATCATTAAAACAAGTCTTTAAAACATTTTATTCCACAAGTTCACACAAATTTCTGCAAATCCAGGGGATGGATCTTTTGGTTGCACTGTTTACATGTGTGTTTGTTTTGTTTTTAAAAATAACATAAATCTGTTAAATAATAATAACTACTTGATACTGTAAAGTTATTTTTCTCCCAAATTGACTCATTTTTGACATTATATTATGTAAAAAAATAAATAAATCTGCAGATATGCTTAATATCTTTAAATGGTGATAATTTATATTGTCAATCAGCTACCCTGCTCTCTCAAATATCTCCATCAGCCATCAAAAAACCTATAACAGTTGACTACTAGGTTAGCCATTAGAGGGATATTTCACTTTGAAATTAATTTTTGGTATGTTTTAGCTTACCTCAAGGGCACCCGAGATGTAGGTGTCTTTGTTTCCCCACTAGTTTCAATTTAGATATTTTTAGGTCAAACTGTTCTTGTCTGTCGTCATATAATGCAGGTCTATTGTCACCACCTCAAAGTCTCTTTATTTTTTAAACATGAAATTGTGCTTTCAGGGACCTCAGGAACAGTCCCGGAGAGCGCAGTCATGTCTCCTCTGAAATCTCAAAAAGTGGATCTCCCTCCTGCTACTCCAACAAGCTCTGAGTTACCCGTTGGAAGAAAGGGTAGGCTTGCAAACCTTGCCGCCACAATCGGCACCTGGGAAGATGACCTTGGACATCCCCCCATTCGCCGGGACAATGCACAAGCACAGCCTGGCACGTCCTGTGTGCGCCCACCAGTCAGTAAAGTGACGAGTAACAGTGAGCGACTTCAGTCTGCCCGGCCAGCTCCACACAAGTCTGTTGACCAGCAGGTCAGTCAATTAAACAACAGTTCATACATTATGATTTTTTTTTTCTTACAGTTTTGTTTGGGTTGTCAATTGCCTGAAAGTTTGTTAGTGAGGGGGTAAAAATAATCTTAAGACCTAGCATTTCAGTATATTATGGTGTTTTTACATGGGTAAAAACTTATAATGCTTATGGGAGATTTTTGTTCTTATAGCCAACAGTTTA